CAACGGTTTCCGAGAGATGATATACGTCTCTCAATGTTCAAGAAGAAGTCTCAAATCCTTGGCCCTGCATTTTTCCAATGAAAACGACTTGGACTACATTGGCTAACAAATATGCGGTATTCTCTGATGTTAGGCCTCTCAAATTCCTTTACAAAAATCCTTCATGGAATCTACTTAAAATTCGGGGGACGTCGCAAATCCTGTTTTGTTCTGTTCGCAAAAACCTTTGCTACATGGATTTCAATAAACTCCCTAAAGACTGTATTGCTTCAAAATTAAAAGAAGAATTCTCAAACCCAAAGTTCTTCTCCTTCGCCATAAAAACTCCCTACTACATGCGTTTCAAATTCTAAACAGAACGTCTGAAACGCTTGGCTCATGTGATTCTCTATGTATGCATCCCATATTATTACAAATATTCCAAATTCAAAGAGGAATTGTCAAGTCGTGGGCTTCTTTTTTTTCTTTAAACATAAATCCTGATTAAATTCGTCTCAAAGTCCAACCGGAAGAAACTATGCAGAATATTGCGATTCCTGAAAAGGTGCTTACAAAGAGAAGATGCCCAAGACTGGAGAATTGTATCTAAATTTACAGCATATCTACTAAGGAGTTTATACATAGGGCAACGAGGAGAACAGGAACCCAGGAGCGCAATAGCTATTTTGAGCCCAAAGCAACCAGTAACTCACTAAGTAGGCTACCGGCAGAACTGAACCTCAGGTCTTACGAGCAGAATAGAAGTCTGTTCTCCACAATGAAGACAAATAGAGATATGCAGTTGACTTGAGCGAAGTGGAAGCTCCAGTTCCTTGCAGGAGTGTCATCTGATCCCATACAAATTCAAGAGAACCAGCTGGAGCTTGAGCTCCGTGCTTTTAATTAAGACATTTTTTACATTTCAAGACAATGTTCCATATTTTACAGAATTTGTTATGTATAAGCCCCTGTGTATAATCGAGCCTAGGTCCTTTTGAAAGTACATCTCTTCCTCTCCAAGAAAATATACAAGAGCGGCCCCTATTGATGTTGTACGCTAGCCAACAAAAATGTATACGTTGTGCAGGAAATTTGCTCCAGAACATGGGTTCTGTTCTAGAACGAAAGGCAGCTTTGAGAATGCTGTGAAAACAAGACGATGTCTAGATATGAGCTATAGTCTAAACTCCTAGTATCCCCTTTAGTAACCCCTATAGTAGTCCCCTATATAAATCCCTATATAAGCCCCCTTTAAGGAGTGTAGACTATGGTACATATGTAGTAAGCGTAAATGGCCGCGCTTTCTAGGTTTGAGGATGCCTTGACCCATTTGACACAAACATATGTACTATGAGCATGAAAATATGTTAAAACCGCAGGGTCGAGGTACGCCGCTAGACCGGAAATCCATATACCATTAATCCAGTTGGGCCATATGGGCGAGACCATATGTGATATGGGGGAACTAGATACCTGAAAGGGGAGTAGAAATTTGTCCGGAAATGACGGAGGCAAACCATGACTGTATCGAACCATTAAATAGTTGGTTTCCCATATGGAAATCTGAAATCCATACATCCAGTTGGGTTATATGGGCCATGGGCAAGATAATTGCATACCCTAAAGGTGTTTTGTCGAATCCTAGATTCTCATATGGAAATGCTATTTGGTTGGTCCCACTGATTTTCGTGCATTTCATTTCTGTAACCTGAGAACAGATATGAGTAAATTGTGAAAAGAAACATCTGCTTGACTTAGAAGAATTGAACATGTGTTTCGAAACACAGGGCCTGTTTTGAAACAAGTGGGATACCATTGGACCGCTAAACCACTGAACCATTAGACCAAGGGTTTTCCCCATATGAAAATCCAGTGAACCATTAAACCATTAAAGTGTTTTGGGGTTTCCATATGGAAACAACCATTGCTTTCATGGTTTACCAGTTTAATGATTCACTGGATTTCCATATGGAGAACCATTGGTTTAGTGGTTCAATGGTCTACCCCAGCTGTGTCGAAACAACCCCCCTTGTTTCGGAACACACGACGTCATGTTTATGAAGCACTTTGTATGCTGAATTCCATGTTGTATAAAGGAAATTGCACGAAGTGCAAGGGGGGGTATATCCTTGTACCCCTATATATGATAGTTTTAGGAGGGCACATGCAAGTTTGGTTACTCGCAATGCCTGCAAGCTTCGGTAAGTTCTCTACGCATCTACACCACACAAGGAATTCATCTACGGTGATTAAATGTGCCCGCTGTCAGCACGACCTCTATCCATCTCTTAGTTCTGCTGCCAATAGGCACTGTGGATCCAATATCGCATGTTGACCTCTAAGGACAAATTTGTATCTTGGGAATTCCAAGGAGATCATGGGTGGTGTTGATGGTTTGGGCCATGCAAGGCTTAGTCTTTTGTGTTTCTTTCGGGCACAGGACCGACATGTAGGACATTTATTTCAGATTATCTGCAAGGATTTGCACTGTGGAGCCTTTTGACGCCTTATAGGACATGTTGGCTCTGTCTCAGATGGCTCTTTCACCTCCGGCCTTCAAAATGCTGGAGTCTCTTGATGAACAGGCGCAGTGCTTAGGCAACACAAATTTTATGTGGTTGACTTGGATACTGACCTCTGTCAATAGCTCTTGCAAACCTTGACCCTAAAACCTACACCCTTATCCCTTAGGTGGACCCCCCACCCAGTAATAGTGACTATTATGGATAATAAGGATTATATTAGGGTCCTCTTATACTCCTATTATACCACTATTGCAGGGTGGGGGGTCCTCCTAACTTATCCCCGTGACCGTGAGCCTCCTGCCCCCCGAAGCGCCAAAGCGGAAATCCTGAAGCCGCTAAACGGAAACCAACCTAAACCCTAAACCCTAAACCCTAAACCCTAAACCCTAAACCCTAAACCAGGCTCTGGAACAGCCACAGACGCAACACCTCAGGGCTGCGGAACCGCCACTAGCATGGCGGTGGGTTTCTATGAGTTTGAGGATGGTTCATGGGTTTGGGATTCGGGAATTCAGGGCCGCCAGCTTCTGGTTTAAAGCTTTTGGGCTTCAGCGTTTAGGGTGCAGGTCTCAAGACTGGATGATCTAGGTTGGGGTTCAGGGCTTAAGCGAAAACACCATCAAGTATGGGCCTGTGATACCTGCCGTATTCACATGTTTGTTCTACCTGTTCCCGCGAAGGTGAATTTACATCTCCTTCTCGTTCTGTTAGAATGAAAGTCGCGCCTCCTCATTATTTTTCTCCGGGGCGTTACCTGCAATGCTTGAAAACGCGTAGCAGGGACCCCTAATTGAGAGACACTGATATGGCCTGGTTATTGCCGTGCGCCGAGAAGCTTTGCTTTCAGAGGGTCATGTTCCCCATGCCCAGGGAACACTTAGTACTCGGTCGGAATGATTCTCAACAACCATTGGTCTCGGGTTGTGGGTTGAGGTTTTAGAGTGTGCAGATGAGGCTATATTGGGTCCATTTCCCAAAGTGCGGCAGCTCCTTCATCAACACCCTGGCGCACATGCCAGGCACGATTGCTCCAAGCCGAAATGCTTTTGAGATTACACTGCTCAACCTTACTGGGGATAGTAGGGAAGAAGGGACTATATATAAAGGGACTACATAGGAATCAACTCCCCTTATTCCCTACTAAGCACCCGTAAGCTATTAGATCTCCTTATGTTTGGAGTCAGCCTGTTGAGGGTACAAGCTTCGAAAAGGGGTAGTTCATCATAGCATGTAGTTCCCAAACTCCAAAACCAAAGCCCTGAAGGGTCAAACCCTAACTCCCTTAAACCTGAGCCACAGAGAGTGGCAACAGCACACGTCCCTGACGAAAACTAGAACTGTGAAAGATGAAGCCCTAACTCCGTTGACCCTGAGCCTTAGAGAGTGGCAAGAGCAGATGTCCGTGACGACACAGGAACTGCGACGTTTTGAAGATCTTTGCCACGTCACAGCGGTCACTGCTATGTACTTGGATCCCTAAAGTATGTAAGAAATGGCCTTTCGGTGCTATATTTTTACTTACTTGTGGGTTTAGGTACTATAGATACGTAGGCCTGAGCCTACCTCAAACCTCGAGTTCTACACCCCAAGGCAGCTGAATTCACCTCCCACCTAAACCAAGCTGGCCCCAGAAAATCCCGAAACCAGAGCAGCAACTTGATACTCTTTGGGCGGGGGGGTCCCCTTGCTGGAGGCTTCATGAGCAGTGAAGAGTATGGCTGTACGCCTCTTGAGTTTGCTTGCACTTATACCTGCTCTTGGTACAACCCGTAGTAAAGCACCCATGAACATTTAAGTAATACGAAACTCCTGCTACCATTTCATATGTAACCATTATATATATCCCTTATGCAGCCTCATATTCCCAGGTCCCATCTTGGCCCCGAGTAGCTGCGGCTTGCTTCTTAACGGCCCTTGCTACGCCCCTCAAAGAAACGCAACAGCTCGAACAGCGGGAACTATATAACCCCCAAACCCTCTAGCCCATTGAAGCTTTGGCTTTACTCACTCTTTTTCAGAGGATAAGGAGGCTATGCCGAGCGCAGCTGTAATTGTGTGACGGTAATATTGAATTTTGCAAGCGCAAGCATGGTTTACCCAGTATATTATAGTCCTTATTATGGGGATCCCAAAAATAATACTCCTAATATCAGGAAACACAATATAGTTGGAGTATTGTAGGGGTGATTAAGGGGGATACTGGAGATTATGTGGCAGTACGTATGCGAACACCATGTCCACAAGTATGCATACTTGAGATGTGCTATTAGGACGCTCAGACCTTGTTCCAAGGGGGATCCTCCAACCACCGTCCTAAACCCTCCATCTGAATCCTGCTTATTTTTGAGGCGTCCTGCCGTAAGCTCTATAATATAGAAGGAAGAGCGGCTGCCAAGAAAGTTCCTGTTCAGCACTCACTTGCATACTATAATCTCCCACACCCCTTTTCTTATCATGTAGGCACCTACATTAGTTGAGTCCTGGAGCCTGTGGGAGGCTTCTGTCCTGTGGTGGCCACCAACATTACCCTCAACCTCACTTCACTTGGCCCCTGCATGATCCTGACTTTTAACGAGAACTGCCACGACTGGTGCGATGAAAGCAAGCCCCTTGTTTGAACACGGGGTGGGGGAGACGTCTTAAGTGGGTTAAGAAAGCAGGTAATTGGGGTCATCGGTGATCATTGTACTGGCTCATGGGGGTGTCGTCATGCAGATCTTCCAACTACCCATCTGAGATGATCTTTTGTGAGTAAGAAGGCTTGTGATTTTTCGCACAGCACCATCTGATGATTTGTTATAGTCACGCCTTGGTCAAGGTACTTGTATTTCGGGCCTGGGAGCAAGTGCCGGCGTGCGCAACCCTGACCAAAGTCCCCACCCGTAGGCCTTCTGCTTCGGCTTAGGCGTGTAGGGCTTCATGAGTATATGATGTCTGGATGTCAGGGTGTTGGGATGTCCATAGGATGCGTCTGCATAGTTTCCCCTATTTGGGGAAGAGTCACATAGGCAAACCTATCCATATTTTCCCCCTAAACAAGAACTCATTTCACCACCACCACCACCGCCGCCGCCACCGCCGCCGCCGCCACCGCCACCGGCACCGGCACCGGCACCGGCACCACCACCACCACCAGCACCACCCCCACCACCACCACCACCACCACCACCACCACCACCACCACCACCACCACCGCCCCCACCGCCACCACCACCACCATCACCATCAC